TGTTCACATTTTTTTTTACCTTATCCTGCTTCATTAATAAAAGTTTCTCAATACTCGTGTTTTTATTGTCAGTAAGAGACAGTGTACAGTACGTGAAGCGCGCCAGGCAATTGTTACCACACGTCTAGACTTCGATATTAGGTCATTGTGTGTGTGAAGGGCGTACTGTACACTGGCTCTTGACCGCCATTGGTCTTGTCTGTCTTACTCTCAGCACCACAACTTGGTTATATGTGATGTTAGTAGAGATAAGGCAATTGATGACAGGGTTTGGTCGTGGTGTGACTCAGACGTATCAACTGGACGGATATGACCTGGACTCACCCTATGGTAAAAAGCTGTCATATGGAGTTCACTTTTGTTTTACCTTCGGGAATTCTTTATCAGTTTTTATGCCTCAAATATTTCTTCAGGTTTTTTTTATAATTTTACTATCATTTACCCTTCATTTATTTATCACTTTTATTTGCTCTAATAATTTTTTTATGAACATTTATGGTTCGCTTCAGTTTACTCTCGTATCTTTTTCTTGAACATGTTTAGGTCTTAATACTGTTTTGTTTATGTCAATTGACCATTTTTTGGTATGTGTCACTTTTATCTCGTTCATTTTCACAGTAAACATTTGAATCAATCACATTTTAATAACTACAAAACTAAAATTTCCCTGGTCAACCTAACCTAACCTAACCCTCAGGTAGAATTAATGTTTACTCACCAGGTGAAACAAACTGGGGGTTGGTATAATCTTAGAAGACTTTTAATTCCTTTCAATGATAAAATTTTCTTGATTGTCATCTTGTGTGTGAAGCGGAAGTGTTTAGTCATTCCCCCCTCCCGTCTCCCCTATATCCCCTATTTCTCTCTCTCTCGTTTTTAACTATTAAATCCTTAGAAACAGAATTTAAATAGTTTGAACATATAAAAAAGAATAGGTGATATTTCATTCAAAACTACAATGTACCGTAATTAACATCTTATAGATTTATACGATATCATTATTTCTAAACTATTTTATCCCACAGTGCCAGAATAGGATTACCGGCTGAACACCACTGAGGATGTCAAGAACCAGATAGATACAAACGGTAAAAGATGATCTCGAAGTTGGCATTCACGTCGAGGGTGGAGGGTCGTGATGGTAGGCCGTGTCGTAACTAAACACACACACCAAGCTGCAGGAAGAGACTTTGTTAGCGTGAGTACTCTGTTACGGTATTGACTGGGTTATTTCAGATTTTTTTAATGAATCTCTTGAATATATAGGATTTGATATGTTCAGTACAAATCCAATAAACTGATTGTATTGTGGGCCACCAAGAGTGAGATCTATATAATAGGCCCCGGATACTAATGTGTAGTCTAAGTTGGTTTAGTGTGAGCCAGTCAGGAATGAGCTATTTTAACATCTGCCGCATACTGTTAATCGGTCAGGTTAGAAAATTAACCTCCATTGACCGTAGAGAACAAGCGGCCGGGAGAGTTATTGTCTGCCCTGAATGATGTATCAAGGTCTTTATGTGAGCCTTTTATCCTCATAATAGTTTTTGGCTGCGTTGAGTCTGCCCAGCGCGCCTCTCTCCTCTCCTCTCCCCGCTGTTGTTTGTAGTCTGTCTTTCTCCCTCAAGTACTGTACAGCATAACACAACCAGTAACCATTGCTTGTTCACTCATCATTAGTAACCGCCCATGAGGTACAAGATTGTTGTCTGATAAAGGTGTTAATAACTTCTTGGTGTCTTGCTACTATACTGAAATGCTCATAATTTTCTGACCGTAAAGATCAAACGAACTTGAATGTTTCGTGACCGTTGCTGTATCAGTGAGTCAACACAACTTGTTATCGTCACCTGTTTGTGTCAGTGCTTCCCTCCGCAGCATGTTAATTTTCCTTCTTTATCTCTTCATCAAGTAACATAGGACCATTTAACCCAGAAATGACTAAAGAACATGAGCCGTGTAGTGTACCAGTGCTCGTGTGAATTATTAGTTTCTTATGGTTTTTGTTACTGGTTAAAATTTCTTTGTACTTTATACTAGATGTGAAATATAAACACATGCTATACTTCGAAAAAACCGTAATTGTCTTTCACCAAAGTGTTTTAATAAGAGTAGGACTATTGTATAAATTCGGGATTTATTGAAAAGGAAAACATAAGATAAATTCTGTATAAGCAAATAACTGAGTTTTTGTACCGCAAAACACGAGACAACAAAAATAAACAATTACAGCATTAATATGTAAGACTACATGAAAAACAGTGGGTTTTTTTTATCTTATCGATGATTTAATTTTTAGTAAGTCATTCTCTGAAGCAGTGACCAACGCGTGCTTGTCTGTGCAATTACCGGTTGGGTGTAGACACCAGCCTGGCCCGCCACGCACCACAAAAGGAGTTCATAAACCCCGGGGAAGCAGAGGAGACTCCATTGGGCGACTCAGGAGATGATCCTATGAAGATAGACTCATAAATTTGGGTCTTCATACCTGTACAGGAAGCTTCAAGCAGACGTGAGGGAAATATTCAAGCTCAAGCTGGGAGGGAGGAGACGTTCCCCCGGAGACACTAGTCATAAGAGCCAGCGGGTCAAGGACGAGAGGTCATTCTCTGAAGCTGGAGAGACCAAGAACACGGCAACATACATTCTTCTCATGAGTGGTGGATCACTGGAACACTGTCTCAGCACGTGGTCTCACCTCTTCTCGTCTCATTCAAACTCGCCTGAACAATTGTCGGGGAGAATGTCCCGAAACATTCCTGGCACTCGCCGCTCTGACGCTTGTCGTTCACGAAATATTTCAGTATTTCAGAAAGGTTAACGAGTCCATGAAGACTTACGTGTTAGGTAATGTCAAGTAAGATGCAAACACTTTTCACAACAGAACTTGGCAGTTATTCGTGCCACTGTTGGTCTTTCAGTGTCACGTTGTTTATATTTTATGACGGGAGCTACATATTAAAGGGTTTTGTCGTGGGTTCATACTTAGCACGTGCTGTGTGTATGTGTGTATGGACCTACAACTGATTCCTGCTAACGGAACCTCAGACCTTAAGCATGAGCCACACACACACACACACACACACACACAACCCTTGATAATACCCCTTTAAGACAGACATTAGGACATACCAACTCTCTTAACAAGACACTAACCACCAACATTCATTTATGACCGTAATTAACTTGGACAAATTGACCCACTTTATATATACGAGTATATATACGTACGATTAGTTATCAAGGAATTTAATATTAACTAACGACCTGAGGCAGTTAGGTAGTACCTGTACCAAGCACATCATGTAAACTCAATTAACCCATGATGAGCCTCCCAGAAGTACACATTAACCAGCATACACCCCAAAGACCTTGCCACCAGCCATGTCTTACCACTACTGCACCACCGTCTGCGCCGCCGTCTGCTGTAACAATTATAACCGAGTGACTGTACTGCTCGGTTATGTAAACAAATGCTCCTGTTAAGCTGACATATCCCCTGGTGGTTGTTCTCCTCCCCCTCCCTCCCATGATGAGTTCTTATTAGTGGGAGGGCGCTCGTGTCTGGTAATGTATTCACTTAAGGTAACAATCTATTTCGTTTTGTTGTTGTTATTTATATTATTGCCACTAGGAAGTGCGATTATTTTGTTAGTTATTATTATTATTATTATTATTAGTGTTGTTGTGGTTGTTGTTGGTGGCTGTTGTTGTTGTTGTTTGGTTATTATAAATACAATACGATAGAATAGATGATCAGGTCCCAGGTGTCGTGCGTTAAGGGGGTGGGGGGTGGTGGTGATGGCTGTTAAGCGTGTTGCCTCCATAAACCTGTATTCACAATTTTTCTGAAATATTTCCATATCACAACTAGTGTTTACAATGCCCAGTTTGCTGTTTACACGACTCAAGGTGATAACTAAAGGTGTTTCCTGTTTGTCAATAATCAGAACACTATCTTTGTTTTACTTTCACGACCAATGTCTCTCTTGATGACGCCTGGTGTTGATGCTTAATTGGCCAACAGTTGTCGAGTAACCAATCAAAACCTTAACGAGGTGCAGATGACCACGAACGAGGAAACGTTATTTTTACAGGTAAATTAAAACTAGTATTTTGAGTTGTCTGTGATTTTTGTAGCATTATGGAGGTGATTCAGTCGTCGTTGTTGTTGCTGTAATTATTGTTGTTGTTGTTATTGTAGTTGTTGTTGTTGTTGTTATTATAGTTTTGTTGTTATATGGAAGCGTCGACGGCCAGGGTCATTAAGTACCGTTCAGTAAGTTTTTGTTTCTACGTTGGACAGAAACTTTTGAAGGAAAAAATATGATTGATATTCTTTCTACGTCTTGTTGTGTGTTACATGTATTGGCAATTAATCACCATCGCCATTCTTTGTTGGACAGGTTAATTACTCACACTGACTATGAATGAACATTAATCAATTACTGTTCTTTTTTTTGTGAAGTATAATTTGAGGATGTTTTTAGGAGGTAGCTAAGCACATGGCGGGGGCTACCTGGATCACTTAAGATCATCGACAGGTGTTTCAGGAGAACGTGTACAGTCACCTAAAACAGTCCTGTCGCGAACCATGAACCCCGAGATTCAGAATAATGTATCAGTGTCTCCTGCTTCGGCTTACGAGTCTGAATCGTGGTTCGCAACAGGACTTTTTTGGGTGACTGTACCTCTTGAGAACTACTTTTGTATTTCGTCGTTAATAAACTTCAGCCCTCAGCTTCTCATCCCCGAATGTCTCTTATCAGCTGACACAACACTTTGCAGTATCATCAAACGAATCTCCGACTATTTCCATCTACTGCTCCCACGTTCTCAACAGCGATGCAACATCTATCTGTATAATCTGAACCTTCATCTATTTCTATCATCAACCGAGGCTCCATTTATTGCCGCCATCAACTGTGGGTTCTCATTTCTTTCAGTTGATTTAATTTTATTCTACCGTCGTCTTCACCCGAGACCCAAGATGCTTAATGATGTTGCCGCCATCGACCCCTCGTTCCCCACTCCCTTCTTACCTATTTACCCACCCCATCTACCTCCGTCTCCAACCTCTACCCCATCTACCTCCGTCTCCAACCTCCACCCCATCTACCTCCGTCTCCAACCTCCACCCCATCTACCTCCGTCTCCAACCCCACCCCATCTACCTCCGTCACCAACCTCTACCCCATCTACCTCCGTCTCCAACCTCCACCCCATCTACCTCCGTCTCCAACCTCCACCCCATCTACTCCGTCTCCAACCTCACCCCATCTACCTCCGTCTCCAACCTCTACCCCATCTACCTCAGTCTCCAACCTCCACCCCATCTACCTCCGTCCCCTCCCCATCTACCTCCGTCTCCAACCCCTCCCATCTACCTCCGTTCCAACCTCTACCCCATCTACCTCCGTCTCCAACCTCTACCCCATCTACCTCCGTCTCCAACTCCCACCCATCTACCTCGTCTCCAACCTCATCCCATCTACCTCGTCTCCAACTCTACCCCATCTACCTCCGTCTCCAACCTCCACCCCATCTACCTCCGTCTCCAACCTCCACCCCATCTACCTCCGTCTCCAACCTCCCCATCCCACTCCGTCTCCAACTCCACCCCATCTACCTCCGTCTCCAACCTCTACCCCATCTACCTCCGTTCCAACCTCTACCCCATCTACCCGTCACCAACCTCACTCCCATCTACCTCCGTCTCCAACCTCCACCCCATCTACCTCCGTCTCCAACCTCCACCCCATCTACCTCCGTTTCCAACCTCACCCCATCTACCTCCGTCTCCAACCTCACCCCATCTACCTCCGTCTCCAACCTCCACCCCATCTACCTCCGTCTCCAACCTCTCCCCATCTACCTCCGTCTCCAACCTCTACCCCATCTACCTCCGTCTTCAACCCCTACCCATCTACCTCCGTCTCCAACCTCTACCCCCATCTACCTCCGTCCCAACTCCACCCCATCTACCTCCGTCTCCAACCCTCCCCCATCTACCTCCGTCTCCAACCTCACCCCATCTACCTCCGTCTCCAACCTCCCCATCTACCTCCGTCTCCAACCCACCCCATCTACCCGTCTCCAACCTCTATCCCATCTACCTCCGTCTCCAACCTCCACCCCATCTACCTCCGTTCCAACCTCTACTCCCTCCACCTCCGTCTCCAACCCACCCCATCTACCTCCGTCTCCAACCTCTACCCCATCTACCTCCGTCTCCAAACCCACCCCACTCCACTCCGTCTCCAACTCCACCCCATCTACCTCCGTCTCCAACTTCCACCCCATCTACTCCGTCTCCAACCCCACCCCATCTACCTCCGTCTCCAACCTCTCCCCATCTACCTCCGTCTCCAACCTCTACCCCATCTACCTCCGTCTCCAACCTCACCCCATCTACCTCGTCTCCAACCTCTTCCACATCTACCACCGTCTCCAACCCCCACCCCATCTACCTCCGTCTCCAACCTCCACCCCATCTACCTCCGTCTCCAACCCTACCCATCTACCTCCGTCTCCAACCCCACCCCATCTACCTCCGTCTCCAACCTCTTCCCCATCTACCTCCGTCTCCAACCCCTCCCCATCTACCTCCGTCTCCAACCTCTACCCCATCTACCTCCGTCTCCAACCCCTACCCCATCTACCCGTTCCAACCTCTCCCCATCTACCTCCGTCTCCAACCTCACCCCATCTACCACCGTCTTCAACCCCACCCATCTCTCCGCCCACCCCACCCCATCTACCTCCGTCTCCAACCTCCACCATCTACCTCCGTTTCCAACCTCATCCCATCTACCCCGTCTCCAACCTCCACCCCATCTACCTCCGTCTCCAAACCTCCTACCCCATCTACCTCCGTCCCAACCTCCACCCCATCTACCTCCGTCTCCAACCTCTACCCCATCTACCTCCGTTCCAACCTCTACCCCATCTACCTCCGTCTCCAACCCCACCCCATCTACCTCCGTCTCCAACCTCTACCCCATCTACCTCCGCTCCAACCCCCTCCCATCTACCTCCGTCTCCAACCTCCACCCCATCTACCTCCGTTCCAACCTCTCCCATCTACCTCCGTCTCCAACCTCCACCCCATCTACCTCCGTCTCCAACCCCACCCCATCTACCTCCGTCTCCAACCTCCACCCCATCTACCTCCGTCTCCAACCTCCACCCCATCCACCTCCGTCTCCAACCCCACCCCATCTACCTCCGTCTCCAGCCTCCACCCCATCTACCACCGTCTCCAACTTCCACCCCATCTACCTCCGTCTCCAACCCCTTCCCATCTACTCCGTCTCCAACCTCTACCCCATCTACCTCCGTCTCCAACCTCTACCCCATCTACCTCCGTCTCCAACCCTACCCCATCTACCTCCGTCTCCAACCTCTTCCCCATCTACCTCCGTCTCCAACCCCACCCATCTACCTCCGTCTCCAACCTCTACCCCATCTACCTGTCTCCAACCTCTTCCCCATCTACTCCGTTCCAACCCCACCCCATCTACCTCCGTCTCCAACCCCACCCCATCTACTCCGTCTCCAACTCTACCCCATCTACCTCCGTCACCAACCTCTACCCCATCTACCTCCGTCTCCAACCCCATCCCATCTACCTCCGTCTCCAACCTCACCCCGTCTACCTCCGTCTCCAACCTCCACCCCACTCTACCTCCGTCTCCAACCTCTACCCCATCTACCTCCGTCTCCAACCTCCACCCCATCTACCTCCGTCTCCAACCTCCACCCCATCTACCTCCGTCTCCAACCTCCACCCCATCTACCTCCGTCTCCAACCTCTACCCCATCTATCTCGTCTTCAAACCTCTACCCCATCTACCTCCGTCTCCACCTCCACCCCATCTACCTCCGTCTCCAACCTCTACCCCATCTACCTCCGTCTCCAACCCTCTACCCCATCTACCTCCGTCTCCAACCTCTACCCCATCTACCTCCGTCTCCAACCTCTACCCCATCTATCCGTCTTCAACCCCCCACCCATCTACCTCCGTCTCAACCTCCACCCATCTACCTCCGTCTCCAACCTCTACCCCATCTACCTCCGTCTCCAACCTCCACCCCATCTACCTCCGTCTCCAACCTCCACCCATCTACCTCCGTCTCCAACCTCCAACCCATCTACCTCCGTCTCCAACCTCTACCCCATCTACCTCCGCCTCTAAGCTCTACCCCATCTACGTCCGCCCCCAACCCCCCTCGTACTCTACCCCTCCTCACTCCTTCCTATGATAATACCAAAAATAGCCAAAGTTGACGTGTCGTACAGCGAAGTTACTTAATATAGCCACAGTTGCTGGGCTATAGGGGGAGAGTCACTTAATAAAACCACATAAGAAATCCTGTCACATAAATATCCTATCTTGTGGCCCCCCCCTCCCCCTCCTCCACACACACACACACACACACACACACACACTGAACCAGCTGATTTGGTTTTCATTATTCTGCCGGATGTCGTAGGATCCTTGAAAGCCATTCTGTCTGAGCCAGAGCCCTGCGGGGGTATATGGTGCCAGGCCACGCCGGGACACAAGGTCGAGGAGTACTTCATTGGTCGGGGAGGGGACGGACGCTACGGCGGGCAGGTCCCGTAGAGCAATGTTACCGCGGCGATGCTTATAATGCATCACTCTGCCCAGCGGAAATTGAATCTCGCTTGTGGTGTCGCTCAAGTAAATCTACAGGGGCGGAGAGAGAGAGGGGGGGGGCGTAGGGAGGTAGGAGGGGGAGTGAGAAAGAGAAAGAGAGGGAGGGAACTAGGAGACGGAGGGTGAGGAAGGACTAGAGAGAGGGAGGGGGAGAGAGAGAGGAAGGGATGGAGACAGAGAGCAAGAGGAAAAGAGAGAGAGAGAGAGGAAGATAGGAAGGGAGAGAGAGATAAAAGAGGAAGAAAGAAAAAGAGAGGAAGGAAGAGAGAGCCACACTCAAGACAGGGAGGGAGGGTCTCGGTGTTCCATCATTATTAAGACAGGTGTCTCAACCTGGACGATGGAGGCTGTGACGCTGTCTGGCTGCTTACCTGGCTTGATTAATGCCCACTTCCCCTTAACACAGACACACACACATACACACACATACACACACACACACACACCTATACAATTCCGGATATTGAACTTGACTCACTTGGGTGACGCACAGTATATGTTGAACTTGATTGAGTGACTCACTTAGGACGCATTGTTCCGCCACTGTCGCCCCACAACAACTGGTAATTGAATTCTTCACTTTTCACCAACGCCGTTTAATTTTATTTTTCACGTTCGTTATCGAGTTCGTCCAGCAACGATATCATTGAACAGTGATGAATGAGTGTTGGTCAGTGCTGGTGGTGACACACTAGCCCAGAGCTGCACGGTAAATATACCTTGTACTGTACCTGAAGACACACTAATGCCCATAAAGTTCGAGTTAAGCTAAAACACATAAATTACTTATAGAAATGGCATCAATATGTACTGAGATTTATCTTCAATAGATATGTTGACGTAGCTCAGCCCAAGTCAACGCTGAGATTCTTTGATAGGATTCTCTACGGTAATTATTATCTCCTAATTGGTGTTAAATGAACGTATTTAGTTAGGTAAGAAAAGGTCTTGGTATTATTTGAATTATAAATTTCGACTAGTGTGTATCCATACGTCTTCGTTAGTGAGAAATTTTCACATTAAGAAGCTTTGAGAATCTCGACTCTTTCTACATAGCTTAAGCCTCAGCTAAGTATATCTCTCACTTGATGTAACTCATGTTGGTTGAACTTATAATGAGTAACAACTTCACTAAATGATACGTTAATTTGACCCAAAAAGCTAATCACTCTACACACCCAACAGCCCTATAGCGAGGACTTGGTTTACACTACTTCAGTCACACAACAAATAAATCTCTTCTTCTATGAGGTGTTGTAGACTCTTGTATTCTGTGGTCATGGAATCATCAGTCAAAGGAAGGTCGGTCAGTGACATTGTGGCTACAGTTGCAATATCTAAAATTACAGAGTCTCGTAACGGCGGTTATGTTGCAGCAGGAGGCAGGTAGTGTTTGGGTGGATAAAAAAGAAAAGTCAAGGCAGCCATCTCTTACAAACTATCTTGGGACTTAACACCAGCGAAGGTTGTTGGCTCCTGGTGTGAACAAGTTCTATGCCGCCTAGCAAGGACGCCTGTGTGTTCGTTCCTATTATTGTTATCCGCATTATCACCAGAAGCGAGGATAATAACTCTGGCGTGTCCTTCCCTCCACCACCATTTGTTTCCACTCACAGTAGTATGCACGGGTATCTCTCCGCGTTACTGTTCAGGGTGCCATTACATTTAGATTTATGGTCTCTGATAATTTACAGTATTTAGTTTGTGCACGATAAATATTCATATGCTCGTACTTAAACAATATATTCAATTTTGGTACGTAAGTATGTCTTAACATCCTGCCTTCTGTCTGTCCATCTGCTCGAAATATTTGGTTTCGGTCACTGACTTTTGATAATCTAATACTCCTATTTAGGGTTGTGTTGCCTAGTGTACCTGTCGGCCACCACCTGAATCAAGTGTCCCAGTCGTTAAAAGTTCTTGGCTCACTTCATGTATAGTGTCCCGACATTCCTTACAATATTGACCAGTCTTAGTTTAAGACTGTTCTTTCACCCTTCAGCACAGAGAGAGAATTCTTCCATTTTCTCACTCCTATATGGCTGAAGTTGCTGTTTCTTGTATAATATAAACAGTGAAGATTAGGTCAAAGTTATTTTTCCTTCTTGTTTAGGATTTTGCATATCTGTTACGACATCTGTTTTGTTGTGTTAATGTTGTTGTCAGGACTACCTCTGTCAGCCTCACACTTAGTAAATAACTGTAACTCCGTCAATACACTGCAGCATATAACAGATGTTTGATGCTACACTACATCAACCTACAAAGGGAGCAACATCCCCCTCCGCTCTTAGCAAAACCTCACAAGACGGATGATAGTTTGACCCAGCTGGTATAAATACACTTGGTGAATGATTCCTATAGCGGGACTGCACGTGAAGGACGACTGTTTGCTTACCACCACACAAGACTGGTGACTGTCTTCCCAGCACCACCATATATGACTGTCTTCCCAGTACCGCACAATACACTTCATCCCCAGCAACACCACACACACCACACCCTCAGCAATACCACACACCACACTCCCAGCAACACCACACATACCACACCCTCAGCAATACCACACACCACACTCCCAGCAACACCACACATACCACACCCTCAGCAATACCACACACCACACTCCAGCAACACCACATACCACACCCTCAGCAATACCAGCAATACCACACACCACACCCCAGCAGCAACACACACACACCCTCAGCAATACCACACACCTCAGCAATACCACACACCACACTCCCAGCAACACCACACACACCACACCCTCAGCAATACCACACACCACACTCCCAGCAACACCACACATACCACACCCTCAGCAATACCACACACCACACCCCCAGCAACACCACACAGCACACTACCCCCATCAGCACCACACAGCGGAACCTAAGAAGCACACGAGGCAACAACCACACTGGCGAGAGACAAAGCCTTGAGACAGTGATGCCGGGGTAACATGTATCACTTTATAGTGCCTGGTGTCCTGCTGTTCTCTCGGTCTGTTGTTATTCATACGACACAACCTGTTCATTGAGAATCGTTTTGCTTGACTGAAGATCTAGATTGTAAACACCGCCGGATCGCCGATGTCCCCAATGACTCGGCTTGTTGGATTGTCTATTCTGTGAGAGGATTGTCATAGAATGTAAACAGTTTTCAAGTAATGGCCAATAGTCTTGCCGTGACTGAGAGCTTTTTGTATTCCGGGGCCCTGGTGTCAAGGGCTGTGAAACTGCAGTCATGCGAAGTCATAAAACCAAGTAATAGGATTTTTTTTTTTATCTTCCTGGGACTTCAGTTTAATTTAAAATGACGTCTGGCTTTAATTTAAGATGTCAGGTTAATTTCGAGATGATGTGTTAACTTCCAGTAGAGAGATAGAGTATACACTGTACAGTATGTAGTTATCATTCCATTCGGTAATTATGTGCAGCGGTGGTCACGAGACGGCAATAACCGCGGCTCTACACAGGTGACGGGAAGACACTCAATTTATGGCGTGTTGCTGCTTCATGTACTGTGCTGTATATTGTGCCTCTCCTTCAGCGTCGTCGGTATAGGAAGTGTTAAGTCATGTCTGTATGGATGTATGAACACGACTTTTTATCTTAACACCTATTGTTAGAAAGATGAGAACATTAAACTATTTCTTGCGAGGACTGGTGTTGGGATACGTCTCCTTACTGTCTCTCGTGTAACTGAGGACAGAATTTCTCTCTAATTAGATCAGTGTGAAGGTTAAGTCAGCTGTGTCTCGCACCGGCTGTCTGAGAGCCAGGCTAAATGTTGCTGGCATGAACAGTCAGATGATTAACCCAGCCGTGTCGTCCTTATTGTCATGCAAGATGGGTAATAGACAAGCCATCTCTCGCGTGTGCAGTGTGAGAATTAAGACGTGCTATTGTCCCTTATGGAGACAAGTAGGTGGTATACAGTCCAGCCCCGCCCTCACGCCCACAATATTTCCACACTCACCTCACGCACGAGGCTCAGTATATAATGCATTTGCCTCAAGAGTTCACGGTCGCCGTTTATAGTCTTCGTTCGGGGAAGTAAAAAAGCCCTGTTGGTATGCTATTCAGTTCACGCTCGTAAAAGGAGATTCATCAATATCATCAAGGGCAGAATACCCCAGCCATGGTCATTGTTGGTAAGTTCAGGTACACGTAATGACTCGTTGTGGCCACCCCCCCCCCCCTCCTCCCTTCTCCCGGGTCTTGAACAACACATCCATGGCTTGTTGAATAATTCTCTCTCTCTCTCTCTCTCTCTCTCTCTCTCTCTCTCTCTCTCTCTCTCTCTCTCTCTCTCTCTCTCTCTCATTGAGGTAATGTCGGCACCAAAGGAAAATGCCGTAAAATTATTTTTTCATGTGCATTGTAAAGAGGAGAAAACGTGCCTTGTCCCAGTCGGTGTAGGCCTCCACACCACCCTGAACTTAACCCTCCGCCTTACGCTAATATTCACTACAGTTGAAGTATTAATTAATTATTGACAACCTCCGAGCGCCACGGTTAGTCATTGCCGGTAGTGATGTTACACGTGTTCCGTATAGCTTGAGTATATTTATATAGGAATTTTGTATCCGACGCCGAACAAAGCGTCCATCCGAATATTTGTCCATCCGAATATTTGGTTAAGTACAGTATGTAAACTATCTTGACCGTATACAGTCCTCCTTTCTTGTACCGCCTTCCTTAATTAACCTGTACTTTCTGTATCCCTAACTCAGTAGAATGTATATATCTCTTACTCGTCCACTCTCCTCTCTGTGCTGTCGTGTCTCTTGGAATCAATAGCAGCTGGATGTAGTTTCACAGTCACTCTTATTCCCCTACACGTTTTGCCCAGTGCTCCCCTCCTCATCTGTTACAGAGTTACACACTTCACTCAGGCTATACCAAAGGCTTTTCTTGAGCTCCTCCCTCCGGTCATTTACTGCTGTGTACCACAAGCTGACCCCAATTATTCCCTTCTCTATTAGAAGTTAGTAACATGGAACTGCATAGCTTATAATTTCCCACACTATCTGTAATCATCTCACTTCCCCCTTACACACACACACATTCTCTTGCCTCACTGATCTATGCTAGTATCTCTACCACACTATCCAATTATTTTTCTCTGACTTTCCTATCCACTTTTCCCAAAAATATTCACCCCATCCATCAGACAACCTCCAAAAATCTCTTCTTCCTTGTCTCGATCATTCATTTTTTTTTCCAAATTGGCGGGAACAACTATTTTCTTGGCTTGTTCCTCCCGCGTGATCCAGCAGGCTGTGGTGACCTCCTCTCACCCATAATTTCCACCGTTTATTACTCGGTCACTTCTGGTCTTGTAGTAGTTCCTTAAAACAAACCGGAAGTGAGTCGTGCCTCTCTCCAGCAAGCTTAATAAACAGACGCAGATTATCTTTTATAGTTCACGTTTGTTGTAAATGTCTTGAACCTGGCGTCTCAAGGGCACGTCGAAAGTGGGAGTAACATGACTTACGCAGGGTTTGAAGTAATGTCACACCAGAGATGCGTTCAGTAGAGTGTAGAGAGCCTGTAAGAGATTCATTAACTTGCCTTCAGTGTGGACAGAATCCTACACGTCAGCTAAAAGAGGCGGGGCTTAATGACTTAGTGCGTCGATAGGAAAGTAGGTAGGTAGATATCCAATAATAATAGGCATATGGGTCTGCATTAGTTTAACACATGCATTACATAGACAGATAGAGGTATACAAAATAAAGTCGATTCAATCAAGGATACCTGATCAGGTGTTGTTAAAATATAATGTTAGTTTTGCCCATAATAAGAGTTTTATAGTGTCTCTTGAACCTTATAATGGAAATAAATATTATTTTTGTGTGTATTTTTATTTAGTTGATTTCAGCACTTTATTATCATGTCTATCTATCCGCCATTTTTGAACTGCTGTTGTTGTTTGATCAGTTGAGAGTTGTGATGGGTCTCTATGCTCTTGAACACACTCTATAGGCTTGATATCATCCCAAACTGAACACAGGGTTTGATTTGGGGTGACATCACGTAAAGGTGAGGTGACATCACGCGAGGGTGGACTGCGGCAGAGCATGACAGCCAGAAGCGATCATGCACCAAGATGGACGATATGGTATAGGTGTGTGTGTGTGTGTGTGTGGAGGGGTGGGGGTCCGGAAGTTGAGCCGCAGATTGTAGGTCTTGCGGCAATCACGCTCGTTGAGGAGGACCCCGAGTCAAGTTATTGTGCTCTCTCTCTCTCTCTCTCTCTCTCTCTGTGTGTGTGTGTGTGTCTAACTCATATCTCTATTAGCTCTCTCTCTCTCTCGTGTGGTTGAAAACATCAATATTTCGGTTGTCTGAGCTGAACTGGACCAAGGCTTGGTTAATTTTACGGAGGTTAACACACTGTACATAAACCAGGTTAGTTTTATGTTGCTCCTCTGTGCCCACAAACACCAGCCCTAATTGGGTCTTTTAAGTGGCTCTTATTGTGTTGGTAAGAGTTTCACAGCTTACCGAGACCTGAACCAAGTCCCCCAATTAGGGAATGTATTATTATATCATCAAGGATTATTTCATTAATTCGGCAACAATAGTGTAGGTGTATATACAAGTTCAGGTACCGGTTATAGTGCAGGTACGGGTTAATGTGCAGGTACGAGTGGACATGCAGGTATATACTGTATATGTTTGTATAGGAACAGAAAAAAGTACAGATATAATTATTTCAAAATGCTACCTACTCAAACACGGCCCAGGATTACTGAACGTTCATAGGTTATATCTACACACACACAATATAACCGGAGTCTATTCATGGAAATTAATAGTATAGCTTTACTTCAGTGTGGGATTCATAAAGACCGAAGGAACAGTTGGGATGGTACAGATTATGACGGTAGTTACGGACTCCCTGATACACCCCACATACACAGGTACATTGTGGTTTTCCTCGTTGAAGGTTATTTTATGAGACGTAATTAGTAATGATTTCACAATTTTTTTCTTTATATAATAATGATCCCAGGGAGCGTGTTTTGCTTGTTTGAGTAAGACGAGTACCAGGGTTGGAGGCCTTGAATATACATCTTACAAAGGTTGAAATCTTAATAAGTATATATTTACGTGAATGATTTGTTGTCCTCCCGATTTGAAAGGTTATGGGTGATGGTGGTGGTGATAGTGGTGGTTGTGGTGATTATAACCTTGGTGTGTTGTCCGTTTGTTCGCCTGTAGTTCCGATCGTCTGTCTGTCGGTCAGTAGACAAATGGTATCGGTACAATATCTTGAGTTTATATGGATCTTTAGCCCCAATATTCCTGATATTCCTCAGCTTATAAGGGAGTAAGTCCCTCTATTGATCTCTGGGACGCTGGGTCACACGTCAAGGTCATTATTGTATAGTTTGGCCAATGGATCTGACTCATAAGCTTTACCTCCCGCCTGGTGAGGTTAAGAGGTAAATACTATTGTTATGTATACAGTATAGTCGCTATAAAAGTTTACATTGATTTATTATGTATATAGACAATGCCAGTTAAGGCTTTGTGTATAAAGATATGACCAGTTCCTTCTTTTCTGTCACTAATAAGAACATGAGAACATAAGAAATAAAGGAGTCTGCAATAGGCCGGTTGGCCTGTACATGGCAGCTCCTGTCGAGAGTTACGACCACTCTCTTTCATCCATAAATCTATCTCGCCTCCTTTTAAAACTTTCCAGCGTTCCAGCACTTACTACAAAGTTGCTAAGCTTGTTCCACTCATCTACCACCCTATTTGTGAACCAATTCCTTCTTATCTCCCTCCTAAACCCAAACTTATCCAACTTAAATCCGTTGCTCCGAGTCCTATCCTGCTCGGATATTATAAGAACTTTATCAAGATCTCCTTTATTTATTCCTTTCACCCACTTAAATATCTCGCCGCACTCTTCGTCTTTCTAGGGAATGCAAGTTTAGTTTCTTTAACCTATCTTGATAACGAGATCTGAGATTGCCGAGTTCCACGACAATTTAAATAACGAGTTACTTTATGCACAAAGGCAGAACATGCCATTCAAAAAACTCAGATCAGACAACAATGACCCTAAATGGATAAATAATTATTTAAAGAACATTATTGGCTAAAGGAAGGCTATAGGTAGAAGGATAAATCGTGGCGAATTTTACCTCCGGGAGTATTATAAGGTATTGGCCGGTAGGGTTAGGACCGAGATAAGAAAAGCCAAGAGGAACTATGAACTGAAGGTGGCAAGGGAGGCGAAAACAAACCCCAAAGGATTCTACCAAATGTATCAAACTAAAACACGAGATAAGATTGGACCAATACGTTCAGATACCGGCGAGCTAACTGATAACGACGGAGAAATGAGCAATAATCTGAAAAATATTTTTCAACAGTTTTCACCACCGAAAATTTAAACATGATACCCGAGGCACCGACTCTATTCAGAGATAGTGAAGAAAACAAATTAAGCGAGATAGTAGTGACTAGTAACGATGTTAATAAGCAAATAGACAAACTAAAGCCTAATAAGTCACCTGGTCCCGATGAGATATTTGCCAGAGTATTAAAGGAATGTAAAGATGAGCTTAGTATGCCCTTAGCAAAGTTGTTTTACATGTCATTAAAAACAGGTGTAGTACCAGAATCCTGGAGGATAGCGAATGTGATACCGATTTTCAAGAAGGGGGATAGATCACTATCCTCTAACTACCGTCCAATCAGTCTAACATCAATAGTAGGTAAATTACTAGAATCAATTATTTCAAACTCTATTCGAAACCACCTGGAGAAGCACAAGTTGATCAATGATTCCCAACATGGCTTCACAAGCGGGCGTTCATGTCTAACTAATCTATTAACATTCTTTTCATCAGTTTTCGAATCGGTGGACGAGGGGCACAATTATGATGTGGTATATC